TTTGTTTGTTTCTGTTTTATCTCACCTGTTTATTTTAGAGTTTGTTTGGTCTTCTCAGTTGGGCATTCTTTGCTAGTTTACTTTGGTTCATCTGTTCCCTTAACGAGATTGATTGGTTCCTGTGACCTCTATCACTTACCGAGGCTCTCTTCCTGCTTTGTGTGCCTGCGCCCTCTCAGTATCCTCTGAAATGCTAGCTTTACCGTCACGCCTTGTTTGGTTTTGTGCTTATCTTAGAACGTCTTAATGTCCTCATCAATTTTTAAATTACTTCATCGAATTTAAAAGATAACTTTTCTGGGCATGGTCATCTTTTTTGGCAGTTGTTTAAAGTTTTCATGAAGTACGTCATCGCGCGCTTTCCTGGGGTTTCCTCTGGGTGGTCTGGTGTTATCCTTGTGGGCTTGCCTTTGTGAGGTGACTTTTTTCTTGGGCTTTTGATATTGTTTCTTTGCAGTCTTAGCCTTTTAGCTGTAATGCGATGTGGAGAGTTTTTCTTTTCCTGGTTCTGTTTGGGTTTTGAATGCATCTTGTGCTTAGCTGCCCCTTACTTTCCCTGGTTGGATTCTTATTTTTGCTGCGATTTCATTGATTGGTTTTCTTTGTTTTTGTCAGAGCGTCTCCTTCCTCACAGATTCACAGGTTTGTCTCTTCATCATGTCCAAGAGTTCCTGACGGTCGTGTTCATGCTTACTTATTTTTTTCTTTATCAGCACCCGAATGCAGAATTTCCTTGTTTTTCTTCCATGTATTCTGTTCTTTTTTATTTTTATTTTTAACTTCCTTGATTGTGATTTTTATTTCTCAAAGTTCATTTGGGTGATTTACATTTTCTGTGGGGTACAGGTGAAGGTTTACCGGGACCGTAGAAGACTAATAGAAAAATTATGGAAAACCTCTTGGTGCCTGGGAATGGGATGGGTCCAGTGTCAAGGCCTGAATGTCCATGACCATGTGTAAGAGTCAGGACCACAGCTGGCCATCAGGGGAGGTGGGAGGACCATTCTAAAGAATCAGTCCTCCCAAGTATAGAATCTACAAATGACAGAAACCTTGTGTCTTCAGCATGTGCACAACACAGAGGCAGAGCTCTAGCCACAACTCTAGCTCATGAGAGGGGACCACAACTCCAGTTCACAGGAGGGGACTGCAGCTCCAGGTTCACAGGAGGGGACTGCAGCTCCAGGTTCACAGGAGGGGACTGCACCTCCAGGTTCACAGGAGGTAACCATAGTTCTAGGCTCACTGAATGGATCCTAATTTCAATTTTGCTGGTTCCCACTATTTTCCTGTCTCCATCACTCTGTCCACATGATTGTACTTGCATTTAAGAAAGAACATTTTGGCTTCTGTGCATCAAACAGAGGCAGCCATCACTTGGCCTGCTTGAATTTCTCTCTAGAGGGACATCAGTATTTGGGACTATTTCACTTTTTCTCAAGGAGGCAGATGTACCAAGTGTTTTCTTTTTCATGGTCAAGGATACAGTTGACTTTTAGGGTCTGCTGTTTTCACACCTTCCTCCATGGTCAGGGGTACAACTGATGCAGCATCTTCTGACTGGAGTCATGTTTGAAGTCCTCTAATTGAAACATGAGGTTCATTTCCTGTTTACAACTCCTCACCTTCTCTGAGCCCTGGGCTATGCAGTTGGGGAGTGTAAGGTTGGGTCCAAGGGGCATGAAAAACTCCTTGCCATCCTCATGCTTGTCATCCACCATCTTGGGCCGTTTACCCCATAGCTCATCGCACCTGCACCTCACCACACTGAAGAGCTGCCATTGCTACCACTGCCATCTTGCCTCCCCACTTATTTTCTTTCTTATTTGCCAAGTCCTGAGTTCAGAATTTTGGAAAACAATAAAGAAGCCCTAAAGATTGGGAAAGTATTTGTCCTGCATGATAAGGTTCCTCACAGGGGCCAGCACACACATGCAGCTTCTCCAGGGCCAGCGTTCCCCCGGCCCAAGGCCAGCTGTCCTGGGCACACCTCATTCTGCACCCCGATTCCTTCTACATTATGCTTTTTACTGCATCACGCAGGAAATGTTTTCCCGCCACATGCACTTTCTTTAATAGACTCAGTTTTTCCTCAGCTGAGAATTTGGAGACAAAATCTTTGGAATGACATCAACAGCCTGTGTCAGCTTTAACAATGAATCTGTCAAAGAAGTTTATTGCATCTTAGGGATGTGACTAGCACTTGAACCGGAGGACTGTTGCTCATCTTCATGGAGCTAGCCTATGACACACAGATTGTCAGATGTTCCTATGTCACTGGAGGTCTATCCAGGTAACTCATGAGACTATGGGACTCTGCGTGAAGGGATCTCGAACCTTAAGTCTGAGAAGACAGAGATTCTGGGCTGATTCTCACCTGTGACACTGAACATCTGGGCCAGACGTCAGCCTGCTAAGCCAGACTGTGACTTCTGATGTTACTGTCTCAATTGCCTGTATTCAGGCCTCTGGCTCTTTAGAAAGAGCATCCATATGGCTGCGTTGCAGTTCATGTTTGCGTGTATTGTCTTCAAGAGTTCTTTTTTATATATTTTATTTACTTTTGTTTTTATGTTTACAAGTGTATTGCCTGCATGTGTGTAAGTGCACTCATGTTGTGCAGTGCTTGCGGAGGTCAGAAGAGGGCATTGGATTCTCCTGGAACTGGAGACCTGGATGGTTGTTAGTCATCATGTGGGTGCTGGTAATTGAACCCAGGTCTTCTGGAAGAGCAGTCAGTGCTCTTAACTGTGAGCCATCTCTCCAGCTCCAAGTTTTTTTTTTTTTTTTGTCTTTTTGAGACAAGGTCTCCCTGTCCTGGAACTCACTATGTAGACCAGGCTGGCCTCAAACTCACAAAGATCCACCTGCCTCAGCCTCCCAAGTGCTGGGATTAAAGTGTGCACCACCATGCCTGGCCAATAATTCTTTTTTATTATAGGCATAGGACATTATAAGAAAATGTTTAATTACTTTCAAAATTTATTTCTATGCCCACCTCCCCTTCCTGTTTTAAGTCTAAAACAGGGATTGCAGTAAATATTCTTGTATCCCTTTCTCTGCTCCCTTGACCAGAGAATGTCACTAGAATCATAGTTGAGTGTGTCTCTGTCTGTTCTATTACAGAACAACGACCTTTTCATTAATTCATCCAACAGATCTTCTGAGAGAGAGAGGGGGGGGAGAGAGAGAGAGAGAGAGAGAGAGAGAGAGAGAGAGAGACCACTGTTGCACTGTTACATAGCAATCGTTCAGGATCTTTTCAAAGTAAAAGACTTAGAATATTCATGGAACAATTAAAATTGAGGTTTATTTTTATCCCAATGTAAACAGCAGCCACTTAAAGAGGAGAGACGGCAGATAGAGACTGAGAGATGGCAGATAGAGACTGAGAGATGGCAGATAGAGACTGAGAGATGGCAGATGGAGACTGAGAGATGGCAGATGGAGACTGAGAGACGGCAGATAGAGACTGAGAGATGGCAGATAGAGACTGAGAGACGACAGATAGAGACTGAGAGACGGCAGATAGAGACTGAGAGATGGCAGAGACTGAGAGACGGCAGATAGAGACTGAGAGGCAGCAGATAGAGACTGAGAGATGGCAGATAGGAGAGACTGAGAGACTGAGAGACGGCAGATAGAGACTGAGAGGCAGCAGATAGAGACTGATAGATGGCAGATAGGAGAGACTGAGAGACTGAGAGACGGCAGATAGAGACTGAGAGATGGCAGATAGAGACTGAGAGGCGGCAGATAGAGACTGAGAGATGGCAGATAGGAGAGACTGAGAGACTGAGAGACGGCAGATAGAGACTGAGAGATGGCAGATAGGAGAGATGGAGAGCGATAAATTGGGAGATGGTTGTGTGCATTTTCTCCCTCTGATCCTTTAGATTTGAAATGTAGATTTCTTGTCCTAGAGTAGAGGGAAAAATAAGAGAGATGCGCATTTAGGAAACGGTGTTTCTATAGCATGGTGTGCAAACATCTGCATAGCTGGTACCCAACCCACAGAAGTCGGGGCAGGAGACTGGAGGATAGATGCCAGTGTGTACCTGGATGTTCATCTTCAGTGTGGCCTCAGAGGCATGTGGAGGGGCTCCCAACCTGATCCTTCAGGCTTCCTAGACTTTGCTTGATGGACCATGCCTTCTCTATGGAAAGCACCCAACCCTTAAAGAAGGGACTTTATAGTTCTTTTGTACCCGTGTGTGAGTGAATCCCTTGATCTTGAAGTCAGGTAGTGGAAAGTCTGCTTCCTTCTGATGACGTCTAAAGTTGTAATGAAAATAATACTGTGGCAAGTGTTTATCCAGGAAGTCTATTTTTACTCCCTTTCAATAATTGAAGAGGAGAATATTCTAGTCGATAACAGAAAACATACGGTGCTGCTTCTAAGGTTTTCAGAGCACTGGTAACTTCTTTCATATAAGCTATCAGTAACAATGTTGAATTAAGTCTTAGGAGCTATCATTTAAATGTTGCACCAATATTTGTAATGATTATGTTTATAAGGATATTTTCAAAGTACCCCTTTATGGAAGAGGTACTCTGTGACAGGTGTCCTTATTATGGAATTTGTCATTTGCACCAGATGATTATGACTGGCTGACCTTTCTCATTCATAAAGCCACTGCATTCAGTTTGACTTTGATTTGAAATAAAAGCCCCAAAGGGAAACAGACAAGGAGGTATCAAATCATCGTATTCACCATCTTGATTTAGAAACCAGTCAGCACGGGTTGGTCACCACAGCCCTTCTGTTTCTCCCCCTCTCACAGGCCATCAACACCTCCATCAAAAGTAAGATCCCTTGTGTGGTGGTAGAAGGCTCTGGGCAGATCGCTGATGTGATTGCTAGCCTAGTAGAGGTGGAAGATGTCCTAACCTCGTCCATGGTCAAGGAGAAGCTGGTGCGATTTTTACCACGCACAGTGTCCCGGCTGCCTGAAGAGGAGACTGAGAGCTGGATCAAATGGGTAGGTTCGGGGGAAGACTCTGGAGGCTGGGTGCGAGGAAGGCAAGTTCCTGGGGTGGGAGACTGTCTCACATTCCTGACTCCAGAGCAACTGCAGTGTTTGGGTTTTTTCTCTGTGACTTCAAGGCTGTGCTCAGGCCCATAACAGTATCTTTCTGGAATCTGAAACTCAGGTAAGTTCAATGACCTCCAACTGTCTGTCCTTAAGGTTTAGCTTTCAAGCCTGTATGTAAAGCTTGTCTTTCTCTTGTTGCATAATGCCAAGAAATGTGTTTCTGTGTGTTGTATGTATCACTGATGGGGAGGAAAGGGTTCCCCGGCAGTGGTATTTTAGAAATTCAGGCCCTAGACTGATTCCGCATCTACTGAAGAAGTCAGCACTATGGAATGACTGCCCTGCTGTGTCACCTGGCCTGTGGTTGATTCAGAACGTCTCATCTTTCTTAGCAGCCCCGTGAGAAAGACGGAGGTATAGGAATGCTTGCGCTTTGAACTGATATTCTTGGGAAAGTATTTTGACATTAATATCGTACATTCTTATTTTTCTTTATTTCCTGACTGCTGTTAATTTGTAATGACTCAGTTTTCTTACCTGCTCAGTGCATGAGGAAGCTCAGCAGGGTCATTCTCACCAGCCCATTCAGAAACAGCTTTATGTGCTTGGATATTTAAAAAAATATTTTCTTATTTTTATTTTATGTGTATGAGTATATTGCCTGCATATATGTAAGTGCACCCATGTTATGCAGTGCCCACGGAGGTCAGGAGAGGGCACCGAACCCCCTGGAACTGGAGTTAAGGACAGTTGTTAGCCGTCATGTGGACGATGGGAATTGAACCCAGGTCCTCTGTAAGAGAAGCCAGTGTTCCTAACTGCTGAACCGTCTCTCCAGCCCTATATTTAGATATTTTTAGGAGTCTGTGCTACCAGTTAGAAAATTTTCTCCAAAGAAAATAATGTAGACCACAAAGTTTGTTTCATCATAGAGTAGACTGAAGGTTGAACTTAGTATAAATGATAATAATAATTTTAAAACTAAAGTGATTTTAGCAATATTTAATTTTGTGGAAAGCCCTCGAAACATCAACTACAAGTTGGACAGTTGCTCAGTGACTTAGAGCACTGGCTGCTCTTGCAGAGGACCTGGGTTGGGTTCCCAGCACCCACATGGTGGCTCACAACCATCCATAACTCCAGTTCCAGGGAATCCAATACCTGCTTCTTACCTCTGTGGGTTTGCACACACGTGTTGCACTTACATACATGCAGGCAACACTCATACACATAAAAAATACAAATAAATATAACTTTTTAAAAAAGGATTCCAGCTGTTCCCTAGATGACTAGAAACTCCAAGGTCCTGTGTCTCTGTTCTTGGGACTGTTAAGAGCAGATCACCTACATGCAGTGCTAGCTTCAAGGCCCTCAAGCCCCCCGTGTGAATAAGCAAGGAAGTTGTTACTGTCCCATTTTACAGAGAGGGTCAGAGCTACTGAGTAGCATTCCTTACCCTAGAACCAAAGTCTAAAATAAAGTTTGCATAGGAAAGTTATTAGGATGGGGCTGGCTTATGTAGGTCCTAGCTCAAGCAAAGGTATACAGGATCTTGTGTGAGGGCTGCCTGGATGGAGGCCTCATTTGTGTAATATGTATGTGGCTAGTTGCTCCACAGCAGTGACAGAATACTTACTCTGTACAAGGCTAGATACAGAGTAAGGCTGTTCCAGGTGGTAGTTCATTTCATTCTCATGACAAAGCTGTGAGAAAGGTATTACTGCTGAACTTAAATTCATAGGGTTACATACAACTAGAAAGTAGCAGAAAAGATCTGCACCTCAGTGATATGATCTAGAACCTGCCTGTATACCATGACATGAATGCCAACAAAGGAATCTGCTAATTCACTTGAGAAGAGTTTTCACTTTCTTGGCAGGGCATCATCTACATACAGTACTCTACTTTTTATTTTGTGTGGATAAATGTTTTGCATGTATGTATAAGTCCACCACAGAGGGTGTCAGACACCCTGGAATTGGTGGTTGTTAGCTGCCATGTGGGTACTTGGAACTGAACCTGGGTCCTCTGCAAGAGCAGCCTGTACTCTTAACCACTGAGCCATCTCTTCAGCTTCTACATATACTTGAAACTGCTACAGCCATCTTGTGACCATAGACGTCATGGCCAAGTATGGTGGAGTAGGAAGATGGAAAGCTCTGATGGTCTGAGGACACCCCTACTCAACTGAATTAACTACTTTTGGAATTCTTTTCTTGTGAGACCATGAATCTAACATCTACTTTAGTTAAGTCTCCTATTGTAGCAAAAAACACTCTCATTGATACATGAATAAATAATCACAGTCCCAGCCAGAGACTCTTTTAGAGGGCTTAACTAC